ACTACGACCAAAGAATTGAAGAAATAAAAAGAACGAGTAGGATTAAGTTTATCAATTCCACTATATTCGTTCTACATTCGATAGATGCATTTGAGGAAAAACAATCGGCATATACTTCGTGTGCGGTACAAACCTCGCCAGTGTGAGGATCGATCTTGAGCGCGTCGCCGACGTTACCGCCAGCCATCCCGTAAACGAGATTGCTCGCGGTGCCAACTTTCGGCGTGGTCGCGCTCAACTTGGTGATCACCCGACCCTCCGGCACGTCCTCCGGCAGCGTGAACCTGGTGTTGATGGTCGAACGAAAGCTGGGGAACAGCTGCCTCTCCCAGAGATGTATCACCAAATCCGCGGTGACCGATTGCGGCTTAACGCCGCAATCGGATGCCTGGATTTGCAATTGGTAGGTAGTTTCGTCATTGGCCAATTCCTGCGTTGTTCTTATCACGCCGCTGTTCGAATCGATCGCGAACCTCTCCGCGTCGATCCCCTGGAGACGATAGACGATCCGGGAATTCTCTCCGTCGTCGTCGTCCACCGCTTTCGCGCCGAACACGAAATCCCCTTTAAAGGAAAAGGCGAGGTTTGTGTTCAGTTCGTGTGTGACATTGCGTACGCGTATGCTTGCTTAGCGAGGTCTCCTGTTATTCAAGTGTTACTTAACGCGTTCAGACTCGTGTTCAAGTTCTCGGGAAGAGCTTAGCTTATAGTTATAAAGTTGTCACGTTTCTCCTTCTAATTGTCCTTTCTTTTCCTTTGTCTTCTTTATTTATTTACTTCGGGAAGGAAAGTTGTTTAACAATTACCAAGGTAGTCAAAATGACCACGATTTACAATTTTTATTAGAAATTTTATAGATGTAAAACAGTGTACTTTAGAGGTTTAAATGATTTCCCGCAAATTGCATACATTGAAATGTTTCTCTACCTTTTTTAACTTTAATGTCTTTGATGGAAATTCTCCGCTTTAGTCTTTTTTTATCTAATTTTTTTTTTCTTGCTAAGAAACTACTTTAAAGCACGTGTCCAAGGAAATCTTGTCTTTTCATATTGTCACGAATATTTATGAAACTTTATAAAAGTGGATCCTGTGTTTCTCCATTGTAGCTGCAATTAATTAATTAATTAATCTCTTGCTACTACAAATAAACAAAACTCTGATTATAGAGGATTAATCATAGCTATTTACTCCAATTAAAACTCTAATAAATAATAATCGTGATATAGTGCAACTATGAATACGTAACTTTCAAGTTACACGATGTTACAGAGTCTCAATTACGCTTATCACTCTTTTAATTCAGGAAATCAAAGAGATATTATCGAACGTAGTACGTTCCTGCTTTTCTACATACCATTTTCAAATGTTGAAATTGATGAAACATTGAAATTATCCACGAAACTTTCTGCGCGAAGCTGCATGTTAGACTCTAGAGCCATCGAAACTGGTAAAAATGACCAATTAATTTTTTACTTCAAAATTTCAATTTTAAATAAAAACTTGTGTACTTCATCGTATTATAAAGTTTTTTTATATTTCTTTTACTTCAAAATGGATTATGGAAATTCGACGCTTCAATCGTCGGTAGTTCAATAGTTCTAGCGTTCTTGAATGATCCACTATAGTGAACTTTTCCCTATTTATTCCTCCTTTGTCCGTTTATAAATCCTTTACCTGGTTTGGTTGCGCCCGGCACATAGGCAGTGTATCTTGGACTAGAAAATCTAGGGGCATTGTCGTTCACATCCTTCACGAAGATGGTCAAATTGACGGCGGAGGCTTGCGGTTCCGTAGGACTCGAATCTTGAGCGACCAAAGTTAAATGATACACCGAGGTTTGTTCCCGATCCAGCGGCACCATCGTGAACACGTCTCCAGTCTCCGGTTCCACGGTGAAACGTTCCGAATTTTCACCCAATAAACTGTACCTGTACGAAAAAACATAAGAAGAGAATTTTACAAAGATTTCTCGAATATTTCGAAACTATACACGTGCGTTCGGAATTACGTACCTTATCTTGGCGTTGAGGCCCTCATCTTTGTCCGTGGCGTGAGGTTTCGTGACCCAGGTTCCGGAAGCCGAGTTTTCGGTGACCGTCGCCCTGTACTCCTGTCTAGTGAATTCCGGAATGTGATCGTTGACATCGAGCACGACGATTCGAACGATACCCGACCCAGTCAAAGGCGGAGAACCTGTAGAACAGGTTCGGTGATCGTAGATTGATCGTTCTATGATTACGTGAACAAATTTCAAACGACCGCGAGCTGTTGTCGAAACGTTTCCCTTTCTTCAAACTTATCCCTTATTTCCGATATTTATGTTTCTTCTACTCGTTAAATTTGTCTTCGTAAAAAAAAAAAAAAAAATTTGTCCTCGACTTTCTTTTTTCTATTGAAAGGTTTCCAAGTTAAAAGGTACGTTGAACGAATCAAGTTGCAAACTTTGCAAACTTATCGAACCGAGAACGTACCCTTTTTTTAAATCGTTTCTATTATTCCCCAAACTCTGCTTTGAAAATTGAACAGTTTCAAAGTTGATGTACGTATAACCGATAGGTGTTCGTATGGTTCTTGAGACAAATCGAGCATTCGCAAAAATATCATCGAGTAGGTGCCCTTTTCCAAATTCGTCTTTCTAAAAATTATTGGGTAAACTTGTTCCTCAAAATTGGACAGTTTCAAAGCTGTTACGTTTGACGGAACGATGGGTGTTTGTACGATTGGATGGTTTGGAGACGTTGAATAAGACAAATTGGGATTTTACAAAGTATCGAGTCGAACCGGGGCACCATCGAGTTAATTGCGCCGTCTAAAACAGGCCATTATTCTCCGGGAGGGACCCGATTTCTCGGATTGCAGCAGGTACATTGTACGCGTTGGCGTGGCCCTGGGCCACGCGTCTCTATAAGCGTATTATATCGTTCAATCACGTGGACCTCTCACGGGGAGGGTTACGGGCACAACAATTGCAAAGCACAATGGTGCGGGTCCACCATAGGCGGTGTTCCCCTGGTGGGCAATCCGACAGAAATATACTGACTTACACTAGTAGCGTATGCTCCTTGTTCGTCTGCTTAATTGATGGCGACAAAGAGCTACAGGTGCCTCTCTCTTACCCTGTTTCTCTCTTTTCACATCTCGCCTCCTCTTATTGTACAGAAAAACCAGAAATAATAAAACTCTCCATATATATTGTGACGCATAGTTGCATTTCATGAAACTTGCACCAGTTTCATTCTTCTCAATTTGTCTCGTATTCTTATGGTATGGTGGTTTTCTTTATGAAAGAAAATGATATATTAGCAAAACTTTTTCTCCATAAATTGTTCACTACGAAAGTGGCACATAATTTTCGATAACAATGAGTTTCTTTATACAATTATCATATAAGAAATATAAAGATTCGAGAGTTCGAAAGTTCACAAAAATATTGCGTGAAAACTATGTTTGTGCGTCAATATCTTTTCGATCCACTGCGCCTATTATATTATAGTTATATAATGCAATCACGTTTTAATTCCAGTATTATTATCAACAATAACCGTGGACAACCGATTCGGGGGAAGAATTAAGAACTAAAGACACGTAGGCAAAATGATCAGTCTGAAGAAACGGATCTCATCATTAACGTGTGTCGATGATTCTGCTTCTCATTGTATATTGCATGTTTGAAACGAAGAAAGATTGCGTAACATCGAGGATTGGGAAAATGGATTTTGCTTGCCAATCAAGACGAAATTCCTGCATCGATGCAACTCGCTGCCGATGCTGACTCGCCTATAGTGAACTGCATACCTACGACGTAACGCGTTATCACGAGAACTCAAGTGTCAATGCACGTGTTCTCGAACAGGCACGCGTTAACGAATGGGGCTGTTTGTTTCTCGTTCACGTCGCGACCATTGATCCGCGTAGTACGAATTGTTTCCCGTCGTTTCATTGAATGTTCTTATCTGGCGCTCTCCTCCTCCTCCTCCTCTCTCTCTCT